TATATGAATATATATGAAATAAAAAAATTTAAAAAACTGGATTTTGATTAAAATAAATGTTTTAAGGCAAATGTGGATGTTCATGCCTGGTGGAAACAGTGGAATCATTTCAAAGAGCATTAAAAATATTTCTATAAGACTCGAAATATGTATTAGCCCAGGAATGCTGAGGTGAAGATTGATATACATCCCAAAGCAACAGTGAAGATGCGCCTCTTCTGAATGTGGGTGCAACATCCGAGGAGTTGCCAGGGAACAAAGCGAAGCTCTAGGTGAAGTAGTTCAAAGCCCTTTAAAGATCCAATAAAAAGGATTCTAAGCTCTAATGGACACAATTTCTCCTCTAGCAACTAGACGAAGAGTAGCATTCTGCACAGGGCATTCTGTGCATCTGAATGCCTGCCTGCTCTAGCTGTAGCTCTCTGAGCTTGGCCGAGGCTTTTAGCGCAAACTTTTTAAAAAAGGAAAGCCACGTATTTACACTGACGTGCCAGATTTCAGCTGCTCTCACCCAGCTCCTGCAAGCGACGTCCTGAGATGAATGAGGCAGGAAGTCGGGAAGGAATGCCTGGGAACTACGGCAGGGCAGGGCTGATGGGATCGTGGGACTTTATTCTGAAACGGAGGGGAGAGGGAAGGTGAGGGAAGGCGCAGAAAAGGGTCTGGACAGGAGGGGCAGAAGAACAAAAGAGGTCTTGGAGGTGTTGAATGAGCCCGACAGGAATCTCTCCTGAAGGGAAGAGGTAGCCATCCAAGGGCGAGAATTTCAGGAAAGCTTGGAGGTACCAAGTCCAGTGCAGCCTGCAGGCCCTGTCCGTCAGCCTTCCGGGAGCCCATGCCATTCTGAAGGGTGCTGCCTGGCAGCAGAAACGGACCATTGGTCCAACAGCTGCTTCGTTGGTACCCACATGGCACCTGGGCTGATGAGTAATCATTTGCGCAGGCTCAGAGAAGACTATCTTTTCTCTCAGCAAAGAAGGGTGAAGCAGGAGAAGATTGAGCAGAACGGTTAGAGGCATGACTGCACCATTCTTCAGAAAATCAGTTTCTGCTCCCATATGGGGAGGGAGTGATACACGATACAGGGACCTTATGGGCAATGGGCAGAAGAGGGCAACCCGTCGTCCACATGTGACCCTCCCGACCATTTTTGCTGCCCTCCGATTGTGACCTCAGAATCCTGGGGCAAAACTGCTGACTCCTGGAGGCTCAATCTGTCTGTTTAAAAATAAACATGTGCTTTCAAAGAAAACTCAAAACTAACTTGGTGATTGCATGACTGACTAAATTACTCTGCATATGTATATTTAAATTTAGGACTTTCTGCGAAATATACCTGACAGTGTTCTATCCTCAGACATGCACAATCTATGGATGGAAGCCATGGATAAGGAGACCCGAGCACACAAGATTGAAGCAGTCAAAAGGTAGGTGGCGATTCCAGCCTGGAAGCCTGCTGATGCCATACTGTCTTTCATCGTCTTTTGCTTCGCCCATGTCGGCCTTCCCAGGAAGACCAGACAGGAAACACGACCAGATAAGCTAGTTCTACTTTATTGTAAGGCTATATTAGCAGAATCTTGCAAGTCTGAAAGTACGATTCTCCTGCCGTCGCTTTTACAGCCTGAGAACTTAGGGGTAGTCCCTCCTGAGCCTCTTGCTCCTCCCACTGTACAGCTGTGGCCTATGCTCGCTTTTATCTGACCTTCCCGAGGCAGCATCTCTTCACCCCATCTCCTGAGGTCATTCCCACATACCATTACAACCCATGACCTTAGGCCCAAACCAGGTACTATGGGGGATCGATGCCTGCGTGAACCTGGGTTGTTACCACTCTCACATGCTCAGAGCATAGCGTACATGGAGCTACTAAGAGCATCTGTATTTCACTGCTTGGGTAAGGTGCACTCTGAGCTCAGAGATGTCACATCATGCATAACCTTTGGCAACCTGTGACCCTGCAATTGCTATTGAACAATGACTTCAGCATGGGCTGCTAAGGGCTGCAGTTGAGCAACCAGAGATTCCACACCCCTGTGAAGTCATGAATCATGGCAACGATGCCTCCCCATGGTTTGGGCCTTGGTCCAGGCTTTCGCTTTTCTACGGCTCAGGGGACACTCTTGATGCATTGCGACATGCAGGCCTGCTTGTTTTGCGTCAGTTGTCTGGAAGGAGAAAAGCCCCAGCTCCTGATCGAACTCTACCGAAGTGCTCTGCCTGATCACTTAGTCGTGGCTTTACTGTCCAGTTCCTGGAATTCCCACACAGCAGTCCAGTTTCTGCCAAAGGCTTCCAGGCAGGGGGATCCCTCCCCAGTTCCACCCGCCAAAGCAGTTTGCTTGAGGTGTGTCTGTGTCTGTGGGGGTGTGCACATTGACGCATACATTATTTTTAAAGGGTCCATCTTGGTCTCTTTTCTTTGGACAGTTTAGTGAAGCAGCTTCCAGAAGCCAACCTCCTTTTGCTCAAACACCTGTTTGGGGTCTTGCGTCATATTGAGCAGAATGCCATGGAGAATCAAATGAATGCCTTCAACCTGGCTCTCTGCATCGCCCCCAACATGCTGTGGCTTCCCAGTCCCACTGGACCCGAGGAGGAGAGCAAATCAACAAAGAAGGTAACCTCTCTTGGAGTGATCTCATCTGCTCCCAAATCTGCTCTTCCCCCTTTGCTCCCAAAACAGTCACTTGACCCAAATGACAAGTGCTTTTCCTTTCTGTTAATGTTTCTTTCCTCATTCACAGCCCACAGTGCAAGCCTCGCAGGGGCTTGGGGCTTCAGACAGAAAAAAGAGGGTCAGAGATGTTGAAGGGCTGCTCCACATTGAAACAACCTCAGCTTGCTTCAAAGACGCTGGTTGACAATGTGCTTTGGCTCTTCACCACACGGTCCAAGAAAGGCAAATCATGTGATGAAAATCTGTCTTCCCAATCTGCAGTCTGGTAGACTGGGCTAGGAGTGCCACCATTCTGACCATCTTGGCCATCAGATGTGATGGCTGGAAGTAATGGGAGTTGGAGTTCTACACATCTGGACCTCACCAGTTTGGGGAAGGCTGGTGTCACTCCAGCATTATGATGTCTTGGCTCCTGTGTCATTTTCAGCCTGCATAAACATGGATTGTTAGATAAGCAAAAATTGACCATACATCCTGGCTTAGCCTGTTATGTGAACCAGGCTACTGTCTACTTCAGTGGCTACAGGTACAACATCCAAAGCTGTTTCTTCCATTCTGATCCTGGAACTGTTCCTTTTGGCAGGTGGCCATGTTGGTGCAATTCCTAATTGAAAACTCAGCTGAAATTTTTGGAGGGGACATTGCTTCCCTGTTCCAAAGGCCAGAGAAGAAGAAGTCCCAAAGTGTCAATGACTTGCTAGGTAAGATTGCTGCTCGGGTATTCACTATTTTATCTTTTCCAGGTACAAAAGAAGTGGGTCGCATTTAACAAGATTAACAAGAGCAGGGCCAATTGCAGGGGAAATAAAAAAACTCAAGGAGGCAGCCACAATTGCATGATCGAAGCCTTGCCCTCTTTTTATGTGTACAGGCAGTCCTCAACTTATGACCATTTGTTTAACAACCGTTTGAAGTTACGATGGCACTGAAAAAAGTGACTTAAAGCTGGTCCTCGCACTTACAACCGTTGCAGGTCCCTGCGGACATGTGATCAAAATTTAGGCGCTCGGCAACCAGCATGTATTTACGATGGTTGCAGGGTCCCAGGGTCATGTGATTGCCATTTGCCACATTCCCAGCTGGCTTCTGGCAAGCAAAATCAATGGGCAACTGCATGATTTGTTTAATGACCATGTGATTCACTTAACAACCACTGCAAAAAATGTCAGAAAATCCGTTGCAGTCATGTGATGCTTCACTTAATGACCACACTGCTTATCGATGTATTTTCCAGTCCGTATTGTCATAAGTCAAGGACTATCTGTATTGCCTGTTCAGTCCATGTAGAAAGGGGGTGGGGCTTCAAGCATGAGGTTGCAGCTACCATCTTGACTTTTGCCCCCCCACACACACACATGGACACGGACATCTCTGAACAAGAGTCTTTCAACTATCTCTCATTCCCAGAACCTAGTTCTTCCTCATTTCATGCCCTCATCAAAGCTTTTTATTTGAATAGAAAGGTGCAGGTGGACTACCCTAAAAAATAGTATTCAGAATTAAAATCAGGCATATCCATAAGCAGCAGTCTAAATCCATCAAGAAATTAATCAGAAATTGTTCTTACTAAGTATCAACCAACCAGCAGTAAAGCATATATTCCTTACACCTGCCTTAATCTGAGGAAGCAGTTTTATTAAATTAAATTAGCATAAAACTAAACTTGCAAGACTTTCCCACCTCATCAGGGACTAGGAGAGGAAAAGGACTGAACGGGAAATGATCACATTATGGCAGGGCTGCATCGACTGGTTGTTTAATTCATACCTGCTTCTCAACAAGACGCAGTCACACCATGGGAAAAAGTTCTTTGCCATCCTACCTGTGTAAACTGTTTTTAAAATCAATTTCTTGAAGTATACATCTTAGAAATTTATTTCTCCAACTTTTCAGTAGAGTTCTAAGTTCTACCAACCCACCACGCAATATCAGAGAGGTAACAGGGGCAAGGGTGGGGGACATTTTGGGAGGCTGATGAACTTAGGTAACAAATGCTTCCACAGATACACTATCTTATGTTCCTTAACATTGTTTCTTCACTCTATAGTTCAGCACAATGATTCCTCAGATGAGATGGAATATGCAACTTCTTACCATGAAAGAGCCAAACAACATTATGGGCTTGAAGGAGACGATGGCCTGTTCAGCCCATCTGGAGGCCTGATTCTCAGTGAGGAACAAGAAGACTGGGATTTGTTCAGTGAGATCACTGCTTGCTACCAGAATAAAGCCAAGAAGAATGCAAGTACTGACAGTTATGACCTCCTAGAAGAAGAAGGCTCCTTCTGCTCCCTTGGCTCCATCAGCTCACTCAGCCCTGCAAGGAACCGATGTTCCTCCGAGCCCAGCGTTTGCCTGAGCTCTCAGTTTCCTGCCCAGGACCATGAGCCAGTGGCTCGGCAATCCAGCTGCGATGCCACCATCATGCATACCCACGGTGATTATATCCACAGGCTCAAGCAGTTGCAGCTGGAGAGTCAGAAGCTTATTGATGAAGGTTTGAGCCCTGGTCTTAACAGAGCAAGGCAAAGCTTCTGGAGATCACCTCTGTGCAGCAACGTGGCAAAGATCAGCACTCAGAAAACAAGCCTGTCCAACCGGTCTAGCTTCTCCAGCCTGTCCTCTACTACCACTTCTCCCTCAGCTTCCTCATTAAGCTCTCTAGACAGTGCATTCTCCTACTGCTCTGAGTCCTCTGCCTTCAGCCCCATGGATGTCTCAACCCTACCCTTCATGTTTGGTACTTCCACCAGGCTTCACGCTTTGTCCCCCAAAATATCTAAGAAGTCCTTGAAAGAATGGCACAAGCCCTTTACTTCTCCTTTGCCCCTAGGCCCTTGCAATATGGACTTTTGCACTGATAGGCAAGTGGAAGACAAAGAGAAAAACTGCAGCAGAGGTGAGGGGCAGGTTTTCATGCCCCTTAGGGTGCCTGGAAATCTGCTAAATGAGAACAACTTGGACAAAGACCAGCAAGAGGCCCAACGCACTGAGACGTCCTCTCTGGTCATTGAACGACACGGTTCTGAAGAGCCTGACTGCAGGCATCACATTCCTGAGTGTTCTGCTCCAGTGAACCAGTACGTTCAGAGGGAGAAATCTGTGAAGTACATAGAGGTCAAATGTGCAGAAGCTACTCTTCACAGTCAAGAAAGTTTGAAGCGCACCAAAATAACAGTGTACATGGCCCCCAAAGAGAGAAGTCCAAGAGATTCGCCAGTGGTGCAAGAGGAAGCAATTGTAACTATGAGCAACAAGGGTACCAACTCTGATGGAAAACACAGTAGCAGTGAAGGCACTTCCAAGACCCTACAAACTGTAAGAGTTCATATACCCCAGACAGTGTTTTATGGACAAAACACTCCTTTGGTACTCCATTCCATTTCAAGGAGATACCACCAAGGATTTGTGGGCCAGTCATCACAGGAGAAGGCTCCACAAAGGGCTCCTCTGGCAGAAGACCCAGGGGAGCTGACTCATCTGGAAGGGAACCCCAGCAAGGACGGCAGTGGTACTTTCCATTTCTTTCTCCCAGCTTCCATTCGCAACACAGTCCGGGAATACTTCAGCCAGGACAACCCCAAAGACTATGCCCTAGCAGGAGCAGAAATGGTGGAGAAGGAACTGATCCGGAGCAGGATGGAGTGGCTTAGAAGCCAGTCGTGCCCCGGTGTCCCGGCTGAGGAACACAATGGCTTAATGTTCGCAGAGGAGACTTTTGTTTAAGGGCACCACGCCTGGCAGAAGACAGGGAGGGAGGGGTGGTTGGAAGCATGAAGGTCTCCTGTAAAGTAGGTGATGGGAAGAATGTCACCAGCTGCCTCAGCTCGCACATGTGCACATGACCCTCGACCAGCAGGAGCTTTTTTCTAAACTAGTTTTTTTTTCCTGCCCTGTACAAAGAACAGGAGCTGTGTTCATCTGAGGCAGCATTTCCCTAGCATGATTTCCAGTGTATTGTTTTTAGCTGAAGGGGTTGTGTTTTCCAGCTTTACATCATGGAGAGATGGAAGGAAGGAAGGAAGGAAGGAAGGAAGGAAGGAAGGAAGGAAGGAAGGAAGGAAGGAAGGAGAAAAAAATTACAATTTTTTTTGTTGAGTTTGATTCAAAAGTCACCAAATAACCAAACCCAATAATTAATTAATAACTTCTCCCTTTTAAGGTGTTCATAGTTTGTGTTGCTTTTTTTGAAAGCACGTTGAAAAATGCCACAAAAGCGTTGGTAATAGTTTGTTTCTTTGATGCATCACGTGGCAATCCAGAAGTTTAGCTGCAACTCGATTCTATTTCTTCTTCCCAGTTTATGCTTTCATCCTCTGCCTTTGCTTGAAGTTTCAGCCTTGTCCCTGTGTGTGTGTCCATGTGCACGTGTGAGTGACTTATGTCTGGTTTTCTAGCATTGGTAAAACCTGCCAGGAGCCCATGAGATGGAGAAAGGCAGACTCAAGATGCAACACAAGTGTGGATGACCCCAAACACACTGGGGGTAAGGAAAATGTCAGGAAACACTTGTTTCATCTGCAATGGAGATCTATGAAATAATGTCAGAGAATGGCAGTTTTACTGCCGTGCATTATGACCAGACCATCAGATTTCCCCACACCCTTCAAGAGTCATGTTGTGAAATTGCACCATCCATTATTGTTCATCCCAGCTTTTGTTATAGGGCATATTCACTCCTCCTGCAGCCCTTGTGAAGGAAGAAGGGAAGTGCTGGTGTCAGCAGTTGACACAGTGGGATTTTTGAGACTTTTGGATTGTTTCATTCAGTGATGAGGATGAAGATGCAAGTCTTTATCACATCCTTGAAACTGAGAATGTTTTAGTTTTGCATAATGTAGACTAGGGATGGCTACAAGGATGGAGTCAAAAAGTCAAGGTATCAGCCACAGCTACGCAATCAAAGCCCCATTGCAAGCAAAAATGGGGTGGGCTTTCATCACACTGCTGTGGCCACCGTCTTGACTTTTTTGACCCCCTGGTGTGGATATAATAGAGGAAAGTGACTGAGTATGTGACAAGGTAAGAGGTCTGTTGGGCAACTAGGATTGATGTGGTCAATTGGCTGTTTTCTATTTGGGGAAGATCTGCTAAACTATCCCAGGATATGCCAGGTTAGCAAAAGTTCATGAGGTCTGCAGTCCTTTCAAACACCATTAATGGTTATACTTCAACTGCCCTTCTTCTGCATTATTTCCTAGGAAATTGGGTTCTTCATGAAACCGGTAGTAAGTTTCACACCGTATTCTTTGGATAAATGTGTCAGAATGCCCCTGGTTTGAGCCCTGTGCTTTTCTTCATCGAGCGATGTCTTGGCACGCTCAGCTACTCACAGAGATTCCTTGGTCTCTGGTTGCTCATTGCTCAAAGGGAGGAGAATAAGGGGGAGACGCTTCTGATTTCCTGCAGTGCTGGACACTTCACGCTGCTATAAAGTACCTCCGAGCTCACCTTCCACCCACTGCTATTTCCAGGTTATTGCTCGCTTAATTTGCACACAGCCCTCCCAACCGGGCGCCCTCCAGAGGTATTGGAACCACAACTCTGGAACTCCAAAGGCAGGAATTCTGGGAGGTGTGTCCCCAACACCTTTTTGGGGTGTGTCCCCAACACCTTAGCCCCGTTTACAGAAAGGTGACCATGATCTGAGGAAAGGAACAGATGTCTCTGGTTAGTGCAAAAGTAGGGCAGGGCAAAAGAAAAGAAAAAGCTGTTAAGTTAGTAGGATGAGAGAGTGAAAGCAGAGACTGCAGAAACAGAGAAAGGTGGAAAGGTTTTGGAGTAAGATTTGCCTGGGAATTATTAAAGGCTGGGATTTTTTTTTTAAATCTATCTATCTATCTATCTATCTATCTATCTATCTATCTATCTATCTATCTATCTATCTATCTATCTATCTATCTATCTACCTACCTACCTACCTACCTACCTACCTACCTACCTATCAAGCAGGAGCAAACAATTTCTGTCCTGCTGCCCAGAGAAATGCAAGGCAGTGTCAATGCAAATGGCAGGAGTTGAGCTTGATACACACACACACACACACACACACACACACACACAGTGATGGATTCTGTAGCAAAGGTAGCTGGACTATGGCAAAATCCTCATTTTATTTTTTTTAATTTTGAAGGCAGTTTTATTGCCCCTAATAGGAAAGTTGTTGTGGACTGGTCTTAAATATCTTTCATTGCAAGCCAGCTGGGGGTGTCCACGGGATGGGGGTGTGCAAAAAAGTCAAGATGGCAGCTGTGATCATCAAGTCAAAGCCTCGCTCCTTTTTTATGTGTGTCACCCATGTAGCACATATGAAAAAGCTTAGGGCTTTGATTATACAGTCGCAGCTGCCATTTTGACTCTTTTTACGTCTTGTGAATTCTTCTGAAGTTAGCAATTTAGGTTATGTGAAAAACTTCTTTTTTCTGAAAAGCTGATTAAAATCAATTCCATTTCTCCTATTTGTTTTAAACTGGAAGAAAAACAAATTATCCCTGCCAATCTATTTTTAATCATTTGATTCCTTCCTAAATTGGTTGTTGCTATGACGGGAAGACAAGTTATAAACCATCCACAGCCATGTCTCTTGCACATAAACTCCTTAAAGAGGCCATCTTTCTTTCATGACATTTCTAAGCTATTGTTGTAAATATTTAAATAAAAGAAATGTGGTTTTATTTGTCAAAACCCTGGCTCGTTTTTCTCAATTCATGTCCTTCAGAACAGAAGCCTTAATCAGCAGGATTAGAAGAAGCGTATAATCCAGAAATAAATCTCAAAGCTTTGAAGGGCTAAATTATGCCGTTCAAAAACTTACTTTTCCAGGGCAGAAAACATCTTCATGGAATTTTTATCAGCACAGAAATTTGGGTAACATAGACACCAACGTTCTTGGTCCATAGACACCTTCCTTGGTGTCTAGCGGGCTCCCCCACCTCCCTTTGTTTTATTTAGGATTCCCACACCAGGTCTACACACGCCCAGGGGTCTAAAAACAGCTATGCAACCTTTTTGAGCTGGTGGGCACATCTGGCAGGTGGTGAGCACAGGAAGCAAAGGACTTTCATCCACAGCTAAAGGCAGCCATTTTCCCACTCCAACTCTTCCCCTGTGTGGCCTGACATTTAGGACAGTTGGCTGAGAGGGCTACGATAAAAAGGTTTTAATGCAATTTTTAAGGTGCCCACTTTACCCCTTAAGCCCGCTGACCAGCCTCTCCCAAAGCCCCAAAGGGCGAAGACCTTGGGTTCTGCCCGCTCTGCAGAAGAGTCCTGGGGAGGCATAGGAGGTCTCTGGGCTCGGGGTTGTCACCTATGACCCCTGGTCAGCTCTGATACTTAGAGCCAAAGTTCTCTTATGTTTACAGCTGGATACCCATCAGTGCCGGCAACTTTTATGCAAATATTATCCATTCCTGCCCACCGTCCCAGTTTAGCTAAAATGGCTGTGTTAGAATCCCAGGCTGGTGTGGGGGTGGGAGCGTCACCCTCCTGCCTCGGGCCCCCTGCCAGATGAGGCCGTCTAGGGGTGGCACCACAGCCACTCGGGAGACCCAGGAGCAGAAAGGACGGGTGCGAACGTCTTCTGCGGGCCCCCGATGAGGATGGGGAACTGGAAAGATAGCTGCACACTCGTGAAATCCAGGGCCACCTTCCTGGCAACCTTGGATCCTTTAAGCTTGGATACTGCTCCAGATCAGGGCTTCTCTGATGCAGAAGAGATTTTTTATTTTCAAAATCTTACTGTTGCAGGAAGCTGAAACAGAAACCCAAGCAAAAATATTGGGAAACTTCATTGGTTCTTTGCATTTGGTGGAGGGAGGGGATTTAGAAAGGGCTTTGGGGAAACTGAGGCCTGTGACTGTTAAATATGGATGGTGATGAAGAAAAGAGGCATTTGAGGAGCGTCAAGCAGAGGCAAAAGAGCTGAAACCCTCCTGAATGCTGATCAGCTCTCTGTCCCATCCATGGGATGGGTTTCTCTCTTTTCTTTTGCCACAATGAATGACAGTTTCAGTCAACTGGGAGCCAGCTAATTCTTAGTCCTTATTTAGACGTGTTTCTTGCTTTGAGCTTTGGAAAGAGGAAGATTGACTTGGCACAAAATCTCGTTCCACCGGATTGGATTCCTTTAGGGCTTGAGAGAGGACGAGGAGACACGAGAAATGAAGAAGGGTTGGCAGATAGTGCTGCAAACTAAGTAAACAGAGGACCTGCTTCTCACCCTAACGCTGGCAGGCTCTGTGTATATCGACCAAGCAGTGCCCTGGCCCCTGATTTGCTGCAACCAGTTTGGCCCTGTGCCACTGGGGAAAGGGGCAGATTTCCTCAAAACGAGTCTCACACAATGCTGCAGCCAGAAATGCTGCTCCAGAGAGCTAGTGGAGGCCCAGAGTCTGTCGGACCCCAACAAGTATGGCCAACGACCTCAGAATGCTCAGGCAGAAATGTCATTAACAAGCCTGAGGTCAAGTGTGGCCATCTACTAGGGACACAACCGATGGAAACTTACTATTTCATGAGGAGATAGATTTGAAGTACTGGATTAGTATAAAACTTTAATTGGACAATGATTTTCACATTCTTATTTTTATACAAGAATCTGAGCTTATTAATATGATAATGCAAAGACAGCCACCAGCAATCCAGCTGATATTGAGCATTTTGGTTTTGTTGATTTCAGTGACATGTCAAAATATAAATACTTAGGTATAATGCTTTATTTAAGCTGGTGCACTTCCTCTCTCTCCCCCCCCTTAAATATAAACAGTATGTATTGCATTAAAGCAAAATAACATGGAGAGAACAAACACAAATGTATCAAGCAGATTAGGGAGAAGAGGCAAAGAAGAGGGCAGAGCGATCTTCCAAGGTCTATATGCTCGTCTCTGAAAGTAAAAAGGTCTCTCCTGCATAGTTGCTCACTGCAAGGAGGGTGTCCTGAGAGATGGTGATCACCCATTGTGGCTGACTGAGTGATGTTTCTTTCTGAGTAAGGAGAGACTGCAAGAAGAATATAAGGCAGATAGTGGCTCATTGAATGAGACAGCAAGCAGGAGTTTGGCTAACACATTTTTGTTCTGAGTCAAAAGTTTATACTTGGCTAATCTGAAAACTGGAGAAGTGAACAAGAAGAAATGACAGTGATCCCTTAGTGCTTAAAGAAAGAAAAGTGAAGCAAAATGGAGAGAAATTTGCAATCCTGAACGCTTATACATGTTTTGGTTTTGTCTGAAAACTACTTGGCATATGCTTGCAACAATTGCAAGCCTGTCGGAATGCTTGAAGGAAAAAAGAGGATTTGAGCATAGAGTGGCCACAGCTGATGAAAGAGGATGATTTATCAGAACAAACAAAGCTGATGCTTTGCTGGGAACTGGCAGAAAAAGCAACTCTCTAGAGCAGGGTTCCTCAACCTCAGCAACTTTAAAATGAGTGGACTTCAACTCCCAGAATTCCCCAGCTAGGAATTCTGGGAGTTGAAATCCACCCATTTTAAAGTTGCTGAGGTTGAGGAACCCTGCTCTAGAGGTAGGCAGTCAAATAAAGGAGCAAGTCTAGTGGACAAATGTAACCAGAAACTAAAGATATAGAAGGACAACTGAGAAATGGCATTCAGGCCCTCACAGAAAAAAACAAGCTGTAACCCTTCAGGTAAAGAATGGGGACAGGATGGTGGGTCCCTGAAGAGCAAAGGGGATGCATTTGCACCCTGCAAGAAGATATAGAAAAGAGTTGTGGTAATGGATGACTTGCTATGATGAGGATTAGGGTTAGTGTGTGCTGCCAGACCTATCAGCCCATGAACTGGATTACACAGGATAGAAGAATCAGGGATATGGCAAAACAACTTAAAGGCTAATCAAGTCAATTGTTAATTATGACTTCATTATCTATACCCTAATGCTCAGAATATGGGAAATAACCATGATACCCTTAAACATTAATACAAAAAAGCAAGAATAATTTAATATGTGTATATGGTAGGCTTCCTCCGTGATTAGAATATAGTAATGAAATGTCCAAAAGTAACAGAAGCAATAGAAAGGAAGGATGCTATATTAATAGTATCCATACCTGCTCAGAAATCCAAATGAATTAACTTGGCGAATCTGTAGATGGCATCTGGATTAAAATAAGTTAGGAACAGATAAAATCCATACTGCTGTTGATGTTTGCTATTGCCCAGCCAGTTAAGACGATGTGAATGCTGCTTTCCGAAAGCAAATTTCAGATCTTTCAAAATAGCATGAAATTGTAGTGTCTTCAGTTAGCTCAAATCTGTGGGAAATGGGAGATGAATACCGCCAGGCACGTCCTTCAGGAAATTCCTGCCATGTCTTGATGATAACCGTCTCTTTCTGAGAGGGGGGGAAGGCACGAGAGAACCAGCCCTCTTGAGTACCATGTCTCGTTCTAGGCACCATATTTTAAGAAGGATTCTGAGAAACTGGAGGAGCTAAACACCCAACAATCCCTCCTTAACTGGAATGAGGCTAGGCCTGGGAAGGAGACTAGTTTTGACAGATGGGTAGACTGGGGGGTTGAACCATCTGCCAACATTTCCTTGGGTTTTGCACAACGTTTTGTGCAAATGAGCTCATGGATCCGCTGATATTCTGGAATGGTGCTGAATCGGTTTTCAAATGCAGCCTGAACAGCAGCTGACAGGCATGGGAAGGGTTGCCCCACGAAGTAGCCAAAAGAGACCCGTTCTCCTTCTCTCCCATTTCACCATGCAGTATCCAGTTTCTGTTCCGGCAGAGGCACCAAAGCAGAATGGCCTGGGAGACAGTCCCTATGGCCTGAAGGGGAGGAACTTGCCTACACCAGCTTAGAGTGGCCAATAGATGCTGCACTGACCCCACCCTTTAGGGATCGCCGGACTTTACCACTGACCGAAGGATCAGGGAAACATGCCGAAACGTACCTTTGGCAAAACCTGCTTTGGGATAAGAGGGAAAACACAAGTTTACCACCTGTCAAAGGATGACAGCTAAGGATGACATGAAGTTGCCTCAAGAATAGGCTTGGGATCAGTTGACCAAGATAAGCAGCACAAAGAGTTTGCTGGGACTCCTTCTATGTACATAAGCATCTGGTGTCTCTCATTCCAGAGTGCAGGGAGATGTAATAATGGATTCCAACTGACGGAAGGGCAGATTCTGGTTAAATGTTAGAAGAAACTTTCTCATAGTAAGAGCTGGTTACCAGTGGAACCAATGGTACAGAGGGGTAGTAGGCTCTCCTTCACTGGTAGGGCACACACAAAGGCTGGTCTGGGAAGCTTGAATTTGGATTCTGTACTGGGCAAGGGAGTGAACCAAGTGGCCCCATGAGCCTCTTCCAAGGGTCTATCATTCCAATGCCATGTATTTATGTTATGTAGAGTCCAGGTTGCTCAAAATATCCATTCCATTAGGCCAGATTCATTACTCAGAAGTCCATGCATGGAATGCTCTGGAGATGATGGTCTTCAGCCGGGAGCCAGCAGGCACTGGGTGGGTGAGAACAGTCTGAGGTCCTGCTGCTCTCACCTAACCTCAAGATGGTTTGATCCAGTAGGTGAAGGCAGAATGAGGACAGTTAGGTGATAAGGAGATCAGTATCACTCAGTCTCCTCTATGTTCTGAATTCCCGTGGCAAGCTGGGTATAAACAGCATGAAAAGATTAGCTTTCTTTTCTTT